TCTTGAACCCGCAGGCTCAGGCAATCCACTCACCTCGGCCTCCCAAAGTGCTGGGATTACCAAGGCCACCAAGCCCAGCCTGGCCGGATATTATTAATACTCAATGACTATTAGCTGATCAAATGATTATTCAAATTTGTCTATCTCAGGAATGGAAATGGGAATAGGGCTTGGTGACTCTGCCTGCAATCCCAGCACTTTGGGAGGTTTGAATAATTTGAATAATCATTTGATCAGCTAATACTCAATGACTATTAGCTGATCAAATGATTATTCAAATTTGTCTATCTCAGGAATGGAAATGGGAATAGGGCTTGGTGACTCTGCCTGCAATCCCAGCACTTTGGGAGGTTGAGGCAAGTAGACTGCCAAAGCAACTTAGTCAGACTTTGTCTTTACAATAAATCAAAAAAAAAAAAAAATAGCCAGGTGTGGTAGCACGCACCTGTAGTTCGGGCTACTTGAAAGGCTGAGGCAGAAGGATCGCCTAAGCCCAGCAGATCAACGCTGGAGTGGCCGTGAGTGTGCCACTGCACTTCAGCCTGGGTGACGGAGTGAGACTCCAACTCAAAAAAAAGAAAGAAAGAAAAGAAATGGGAATAACCCGAAAGAGTTAAACTTCATGGCAGCAATGGTTACTTCCTAGAGAATTCTTTCTAAGTTCCATTCTTCCACATGGATCACCCAGCAGGAATGGGTCTGCTTGGCACTTTAGTTTTCTGAACTACAAATTTGGGACTGCCTTGTTCATGAGACATAGGACCTGCTTCAAACAACAGTCACATGAAGACTACATTTTTATTCAACCCATATATCACAACTGAAGAACTGTTTCTTTAGAAACACTGGATACAAGTAGGCTGCGGCCCAGATCAGCATGGAGTCAAAAAGCATTTGTGAAGGGTTTGATTGTACACACCCCTGTGTGAGTCTTTGTCCCAACAGAGACAGAATGGCTCTGTCTCTTTTGCTGGCCAGAACAACAGAACCCAGTAGTGCAACAGAACTACAGCAAATACTTGATGACTAAGACTGCAAATCTCCAAAAATACAACAAACAACACAGGAAAGTTTCATCAGATTTTCCTCACATTTGTTGGCACTAAGGCCTATTTTGTCAGGGAATACTTACAACAGGGCCACTTTCAAGGGGATGTAACGCATTTCGATAGGAGTTCGGATGAGTTCAGCCACATCTGGGGCATACTGGTCCAGTTCTAGGAGAAGTTTCTGCTTTTTAAACTAGAAAAAAAAAAGAACAAAACGCATGAAACAAATTACTTCCTACTGCTTTTAGGGTTTTAGGATGAAGACAGAAGCCCTTTCCATGGCCACACAGCCCTGCCTGGTCTGGCCCTACATCTCCAGACTCATCTCACATTTGCTGTCCCCACCTCCCACTTTCTGGGTTCCAGCACCATGAACATACCATACCTCTCCTGTTCTCAGACCTCTGCATCTGACCTGGAACTATTTCTTCTTCTCCTTCTCTAGTTAATTCCCACACTGTCTTTGGATCTCAGTTAAATCATCACTTCCTTAGCACTATTCAGTTACAACTTTTTCACTTACCTAGTGACTAATGTCTTTCTCCCTCACTAGACTATGAGTTCCATGAGGGCAGCGACCATGCTTATTTGCTTACTATGGATGCCTAACACCTGGCACAGTGGGCAAACAATGAATATCTGCTGAATGGTTGAATGAATGACTGAGTGGTGAAGCAAAGTTTTTAGCCATTTTGAACAGTTATCATCAGCAGCCTAAGGGCTCCAAAGTTTCATCAGTGAAGTATTTTCAAGCAAGGTGGAATGATCCCAAACATCACTGGATTTTCTCCTTCACTCTCCTGTTTCAAGTTTTGTTTTCTTTTTTCTTTTTTTTTTTTTTT